CCTTCTCGTTAGCATATTGTCCGATGTTTGGCTCTGATACTATTTGTAACGCCCAAGTCCACCGCTAGCAGATATTGTCTTCTTTGGGTTTTCCCTTTCAGGCTTCTCCTCAAGGTTTGTAAAACCCATCTACTAGGGAGAGAGTCTAGCCCTACTCCAATCAGTGTCTCGCACTAGGGTCCCACATTGACTGGAGAATGGAACGAGTGTCAGCGAGGACGCTGGACCCCGAATGGGGTGGATTGTGAGATACTACATCGGTTAGGGAGGAGAACGAAACATTTTTTATAAGGGTGTGAAACCCTCTCTTTAGCATACGCGTCTTAAACCCTTGAGGGAAAGCCCAAAAGGAAAAGTCCAAAGAAAACCATATTTACTAGCGGTGAGCTTGAGCCGTTACATCAAAAGAGACCATTAGGGAAACCTATCAAATCTACTTACAAAGTTTCCTTTCTTCTTTTCCATAAAATCTTATTGATAGCAATACGAAACCGATTTAAATCTCGTAGTGATCAATTCCGTGTAAGCAAAATAGATATGAGTATCAGAGGGCTCTTATTTGGCTAATGTGATTAAGACATCTTACCTGCCATCGCCATCCTACATCAGTTTCAGTAGCATTTCTGGGCTCATTAATATAACAGGAGAGCTTTCCTCTATAAGCAAATACACCAGCAGCTATTTTGCTGAGTATTCCATTTCCAGAATAAGTTCCATCAATGGCACCACAGATTCTGTTCACTGGATATTTTGCTGGGTGGTTGTATTGGGCTGCACTCGCATACACGGACCACAAGTAGTTTTCCAGCTCTGTGGAACTTCTTAAAGGACTAGAAAATTAAAAAAAAAACATGTTAAGTTCACTTCATTGAATTTGGACAAGAGAGCAATTTCGTTACCTGCATGTTTTGAACTCTTTGTCAAGAATGGAAAGGCCATTGGGTTGAGAGGCAACTGTTTCTATTTCAGACCATGACTCCCTAATAGTTTGGTAGCAAGCCTGACTGACTTCCTGTTAGGATCGCACAACAACGCACACACTCGATCAAGATGAACACAAGAACAACGAAGAGGAATATTGGCTAAAATATATGGAACGAAGAAAGTAAATCTTGAAAGTACTGTCTAATGGGTATATATATATGATCTCAGCTTACTAAATATAGATTTAAGAGATTTAACCGAAATATAATCTATCAAATATATCAAATTTTTATGAAATATTTATCATATATATCTCAGAAATATCAGCATCTTACTCTAAAATCCTTGGTGACAACAGCATAGTATCCATTTCGCGGTGTGATATCATCGAAGTAAAGAATTGGAGCTGAAGATGCGAGAGCTCCTAGTGCCACATGAGGATATTTAAGACGGAACCATGTAGCCAACACTGTTAACAAAAAAAAAAATATTTTGTGATATTCCACGTTGGTTGGAGAAGAGAACGAAACACCCTTTATAAGGGTGTGGAAACCTTTCACTAGCAGACACGTTTTAAAAACCTTGAGGGGAAGGCCGAAAGGACAAGTCCAAAGAGGACAATATCTGCTAGCGGTGGACATGGGCAATTACAAATGGTATCAGAGTCAGACACCGGACGATGTGCCAGCGAGGAGGTTGTTCCCCAAAGGGGGTAGACACGAGGCAGTGTGCCAATAAGGACGTTGGGCCCTGAAAGGGGGTGGATTTGGTGGAGATCTCACATCGATTGGAGAAAGGAACGAGTGCCAGCGAGGACACTGGGCCCTTAAGTGGGGTGGATTGTGATATCTCACATTAGTTGGGGAGGAGAACGAAACACCCTTTATAAGGGTGTGGAAACCTTTTCCTAGCAGACACGTTTTAAAAACCTTGAGGGGAAGCTCGAAAGGGAAAGCCCACAGAGGACAATATCTGCTAACGGTGGGCCCGGGTCGTTACACATTTACATGTCCTGTTAGGTACTAAATATTAAAAAATTCGAGGACTTTGAATGAGAAACTACTTACTTCCTCCATATGATCCACCAATAACAATCACAGGAGAATAATTAGCATTAAACTCCTTTTTTACATGTATAAGAACGGCTGCATAATCTGCTATTGCTTGCGCTGAGTTAAAATATCCAAGAGTGCTTGCATTTCTTAGTGCTTCTTTCCTTGATCCAAAAGGGATTGATTTTCCATAGTACCTATGCTGGTAAGATGAAGATCTTAGACCAAAACTACAAGACTCTAAAACAACAAAAAGGGATTAAAGAGTTAAACTTTACCTCAATATAAACTAGAAGAGCATTGAACTTAATGGCGTTATCTGTCATAAACCCAATACTATTCATAGCAGAATCTATTGGTGCTTCAGCGCCCAAGTAAGCAAGAATTGGAGCGCTTGAATTTGCACCACCCCAGTACTTGAAGTTAATTATGTATCTTTGAGGGAATGTTCCGTAACTTTCAGGTCTATAGCTGAAATGATCGAGTGTTTGTTTGTAATAAAATGTCTTGAAATCATTCGAAGGAGGTAATTCTAGAGCTTCGGAATGATGTAGAAACTTTTCACCCATAGGACTAAGCCTTGGGATTCTATACTGGAAAGAAGTGACAGAGCTTGAAAAAAAGAGAAGTAAAAATGGAATCCATGGGGAAGACAACATTGAAAACCTCATGCTTGTTATGATAATTTTTCAAGCTTTGTCATTTGTTGTAAAGAAAGCTTTATATAACAAAGGCTTTCCTTGTTTGAGTGTTTTTTTTATTACAAACTGAATTTAGTCTGACTGTGACATCCATGTTGGTTGGAGATGAGAAAGAAGCATTTTTAACAAGGGTATGGAAACCTTTTCTTAATAAACGCGTTTTAAAATCTTGAGGGAAAGTTCAGAAGAGAGCCCAAAGAGGATAATATCTATTACAAATGGTATTAGAGCTAGACACTGGGCTGTGTGCGAGCGAGGACGCTGGCCTTCAAGGGGGTGAATTGTGAGATCACACGTTGGTTGGAGAGGAAAACGAAGCATTCCTTATAAAGGTATGGAAACCTCTCCCTAGTAGACGCGTTTTAAAACCTTGAGGGGAAGTCTAGAAGGGAAAGCCCAAAGGAAGACAGTATCCGCTAGTGGTAGGCTTGAGATATTATAAATGGCATTAGAGCCCGACACCAAGTGGTGTGCCAATGAGAACTGGGCCCCCAAAGTGAGTGGATTGTGAGATCCCACATTGATTGGAGAGAGAAACGAAGCATTCCTTACAAGGGTGTGGAAACCTCTCCCTAATAAACGCGTTTTAAAACCTTGAGGGGAAGCCCAAAAGGGAAAGCCCAAAGAGAACCGTATCTGCTAATGGTAGGCTTGGCTGTTATAAATGGCATTAGAGCCAGACACCAAGTGGTGTGTCAATGAGAACGTTGGCCCCCCAATATGAATAGATTGTGAGATTCCATATTAGTTTGAGAGGGGAACGAAACATTCCTTTTAAAGGTGTGCAAACCTCTCTCTAATAGACGCATTTTAAAACCTTGTTTGGACTGTTACATTGACACAGAATAGTTATCAAACGGGTTAGCAACGAACTTCAACTTGTAATTGGTATTTAATAACATTAGTAGGTGAGACCAAGTGTGTGCCGTAACATCTAGAGAAAGCGAAATGCATTGACAAATAATAGCATTCCAGTTATTCAAATATCTAACAGTAAATATTGCCCATTTGGTAGCCCATATGGAATCAATGATGTAATATGGATTAAATAGTCTTCTATGAACTCGTTCAACTTTATGACTGACAAAATCAAAGTGGTGCAGTTATTGTTATTTTATTTAACAGGAAAGTAATTGGATGGCATCGTAATGTCAATGTATGAAAAAGAATCCTAAGAGATAAACTAACCTTGATTTCTCCTCCTACGTGAATATTACATGAATATGCTGCCAATGGAAGACAATTAGATATTTTAACACAAATAATATTGAAGATGAAAATATTGTATTTTTCCGAGAAACAAATAAAAACTAGAAGTGATGCTGACCTTAGGAGAAGTTAAATCGTTTCCTTTGGCATGTGTTTGTTTTTGAAATTCGATAGCGGTCATTAAACATCGACAACTATAGCAGTCTAAACCCACAACTAGAAGATATTGTCCTCTTTGGGCTTTCTCTTTCGAGGTTCCCCTCAAGTTTTTTAAAACGTGTCTACTAGAGAGAGGTTTCCACACCCTTAGGATGCTTCGTTCTCCTACCCAACCGATGCACGATCTCACAATTTACTCCCCCTTCGAGGCCTAGTGTCCTTGCTGGCACACCGCCTCATGTCCACTCCCTTCTCGTTTTCCTACCTAACCGATGCGGGATCTCACAGTTCACCCTCCTTCGGGGCCTAGTGTCCTCGCTGGTACTCCACCTCATGTCCACCCCTTCTCGTTTTCCTACCCAACCAATGCGGGATCTCACAATTCACCCTCATTCGGGACCTAGTGTCCTCGCTGGCACTCCGCCTCATGTTCACCCCTTCTCGTTTTCCTACCCAACCGATGCGGGATCTCACAGTTCACCCCCCTTCGGAGCCTAGTGTCCTTGCTGGCACACCGCCTCATGTCCACCCCCTTCAGGGTTGAGCCTCCTCGCTGGCACATTGCTCAGTGTAAGCTTTGATACCATTTGTGACAACTCAATCCCACCACTAGCATATACTGCCCTCTTTGCACTTTCCCTTTCAAGCTTCTCTTCAAGGTTTTTAAAATTCGTCTACTAGGGAGAGGTTTCCACACCCTTATAAAGAATGCTTCTTTCTCCTCCCCAACCGACATGGGATCTCACAACAACCGACTATTACCCTTATTTATTTATTCATTTTTTGTTTTTTGTTAATCAATTTTCTTTCTTCTTTTGAGTACAACAAATCTCATCAAAAGTTGCCTTCGTTATTCTAAAGCGAATTTACAATTCTTCCTCTTTGATCTAATGAACTCTAGAATAGTGCCTTAAGACGAATAAAGAAAACAAAAAAGCATAATCTTAAGAGCATGTAAGCTTACAGACAAAATCTTTTATTTCTCCTTTTTTTAATGGGTCGTTACAAGTGATAGCTCAAATAGCACGTTTATCATACTTTTCATTCCCGTATGTACTACCGTATAAGGGAGAAGAAGAGCAGAAAGCTATTCTTTACAATCTAGAATTTCAGAATGTTTTGTTTTGTTTGTAGTTTGCCAAATCTGCATAATACTTACTGATCCATGCTTTAATGATATCAACCTCAGTCTTTCTCTGTGCCACTACCCATTCAGGATCAGTTTCATTCGCCTTTAAGATGTCCAAACAGTGAGATCCTACAGATATCAAAATGTAAAACTAAGGAAGATGGTAAAACCAATCAACTAAAATCCTCCAAGACACAAAAGCTATACATGTCGAATTGCGTTTATCGATCCCATATCGATTAGGGAGGAGAACGAAGCATTCTTTATAAGGGTGTGGAAACCTCTCCCTAGCGCACACGTTTTAAGAACCTTGAGGAGAAGCCTAAAGAGGACAATATTTGTTAGCGGTGGACTAGGGTCGTTACAAATGATATCAGAGCCAGACACCGGGCGATGTGCTAGTGAGGATGTTGTTCCTCAAAAGGGGTAGACACGAGGCGGTGTGTTAGTAAAGACACTGGGACTTGAAAAGGGATGGATTTGGTGAGAGTCCCACGTCGATTGGAGAAAGGACCAAGTGTCAGCGAGGATGCTGGGCCCTGAAGGGGGGTGGATTGAGAGATCCCACATTGGTTTGGGAGGAGAATGAAACACCCTTTACAAGGGTGTGGAAACCTATCCCTAGTAGACGCGTTTTAAAAACCTTGAGGGGAAGCCCAAAAGAGAAAGTCCAAAGAGGACAATATCTGTTATTGGTGGACTAAGGTCGTTACAAATGATATCAGAGCCAGACACCAGATGTGCCAACGATGATGCTGTTCCCCAAAGGGGTAGACACGAGGCAGTATGTCAGTAAGGACACTGGACCCTGAAGAAGCGTGGATTTGGTGGGGTCCCACATTGATTGGAGAAAGGACCAAGTGCCAGCGAGGACGCCGGGCCCTAAAGGGGGGTGGATTGTGAGATCCCACATCAGTTGGGGAAGAGAACGAAACATTCTTTATAAGAATGTGGAAACCTCTCCCTAGCACACGCGTCTCAAACACTTTGAGGGAAAGTCCGAAAAGGAAACCCCAAAAAAGACAATATCTATTAGCGGTAGATTAGGGTCGTTTACGACAATGTAAAACTTTCAAAACATAGAGATGAAAGCATTACCATTAGTGGTATGCACTGCAAGGAGAGTGTCTGATATGTTGTGCAATACACTGGTGTCAGAAAGAGACAAATAATTAAGGCCCAGTAAAGCTTGTCACCTTTTATCTGTTTATAAATAAGTATTGTTTTGTTTACCCGCCAATACTATAAGGATCTTTAAGTCCATTGGAAAAAATGATGTTGCTACCAAATCTCTGAAGGACGAGTTGTATATCCTACCATATAAATTTAAGACAATAAACTTCAATCTTTATAGATAAGGAGATAATTTTGTTGACTAACAAGCAATTGAAATACATACATGGCCTCCATAGTAGGTGGTAGCCCAATGGGGTCTGGGAGGGACACCATATAATCCATTGCAATATCTGCTGAAGTTTCCAAGGTCAAAAGGGAACGGTGGAAACATATCATCGTCTGAACTTATTGGCATCACCATCTCACTGCATGACTGCAACAACAACAACAAGATGAAGCTTATAAGGATGTGGAAACCTCTCTCTAGCAACGCGGTTTAATAACTTTGAGGGGAAGCCCAAAGAGAACAATATTTGCCAGTGGTGGGCTTGAGCTGTCACAAATGGTATCAGGGTCATACACTATATGACGCGGTGTGCCAGCAAGGACGCTGGACCCCGAAGGGGTAGATTGTGAGATCCCACACCGGTTGAGGAGAAGAACATAACATTTTTTATAAGGGTGTGGAAACCTCCCCCTAGCTGACGCAGTTAAAAAACCTTGAGAGAAAACCCAAAAAGGACAATATCTGCTAGCGGTGGGCTTGAGCTGTTACAAATGGTATAAGAGCCATACACCGGGTGATGTACGCTGGACTTGAAAGGGTGGATTGTGAGATCCCACCTCGGTTGGGGAGGAGAACGAAACATTCTTTATAAGGATGTGGAAACCTCTCCCTAACAAACACGTTAAAAGCCTCGAGGAAAATGGAAAGCCCAAGCCCAAACAGAACAATTTCACCCAACTTTTGCTGATTTTTCACCTTTTTAACAAAAATGTGGAGGTAAATTTTCTGGCGATCAATTTACTATCAGAAGCATATAGGCAAAATTAGAAGCTCTAATTGAGTTAACTTTTTATTTACTGATGTCTCCACTAGAAAAATTACCTGCCATCTCCATCCTACGTCAGTCTCAGTTTCATTTCTGGGCTCATTAATATAACAGGACAAATTTCCTCTGTAAGCAAACACACCTGCAGCTATTTTTCCAAGTGTTCCATTCACAGCTCCGTCAATGGCATCACAAATCCGGGTGACCGGATATCCAGGTGGGTGGTTATACTGGGCTGCACTAGCATACATGGACCACAAGTAGTCTCTCAACTCCAAGTACCTCGCTATAGGACTACAAAAATTAACAATATTTAGTCCTGAATTATAGTTTACGGCTTACCATAAGTATCATATTTATCTAGGTAAATAAGTATCATATTTATCTAGGTAAATATCTTATATCTATTTATTGTTCTTTCCATATCTTTTATAATTTATTTATTCTCTGAATGATTAGAGTACAACTTATTACCGGCATGTTTTGAACTGTTGGTCGAGAAAGGAAAGGCCGTTAGGCTGCAAAGCAACTGCTTCCATTTCCGACCACGATTTCTTAATAGTTTCATAGCAAGTTTCACTGACTTCCTGCCATTCATATATTTTGTTTTAAAAACATAAAAAAAAAATTTGTCATAATAAGAAAGGGATGTAAAATTTCAACATCTTACTCTAAAGTCCTTGGTGACGACAGAATAGTATCCATTCTGTGGTGTAATATCATCGAAATAAAGGATTGGCGCTGAAGATGCAAGAGCTCCTAGTGCCACGTGAGGGTATTTAAGACGGAACCATGAAGCCAACACTGAAAATAGATAATACATACATGTACCGTTAGATATTGGATGTACGTATCTATGAGAGTTTATGTTCAAAATGGACAATATCATACTATTGATATTGTGGAGAGTTGTGATTCTTAACAGTAAGTTGTAACCGAGTTTGCAGACTATGAATGAAAAACGACTTACTTCCTCCATATGATCCACCGATAACAATCACGGGAGAATAATTAGCACGAAGCTCTTTCTTCACGTGCATAAGAATACTTGCATAATCAGCAATCGCTTGTGCTGAATTAAAGTACCCAAGAGTGCTAGCATTTCTTAATGCTTCATCCCTTGATCCAAATGGTACCGATTTTCCGTAGTATCGATGCTGTTACAACGACAAACGACTTTAGAAACACTAAAATTGTAATGGCTCAAGCCCACTACGAGCCTAACATTAAACTTTACCTCAATATAAACAAGAAGAGCATTAAACTGGATGACATTATCGGTCATAAACCCAATAACATTTAAATCATCATCAATTGGTGCTTCAGCCCCCAAATAAGCAAAAATTGGAGCACTCGAATTAGCACCACCCCAGTACTTGAAGTTGACTATATATCTTTGCGGGAATGTCGTGTAGCTTTCAGGCCTATAACTGAAATGATCAAGTGTCTGATTGTAATAAAATGTCTTGAAATCATCCGAAGGAGGTGCCTCCAGCAGAACTCTAGAATGATGTAGAAACTTTTCACCAATAGGACTAAGCCTCGGAAATCTATACGGCAAAGCAGTAACAACAGAGGTTGAAAGAACAAAAAGTAAAAAAGGAATCCATGGAGACGAAAACATTGGAATCCTCACGCCAGTGTGTTGTTATGAAAACGTTCCAAGTCTTTTTAAAGCCTTATATAACAAAAATGAGTATATGTTGACATAAAGAGAGACCAAGTTTGTGGCATTGAAGGAGTCTTTGCAAAAATGTGTATGTAAACGTATTTAAGAGAAAGCGAAATGCATTAAAAGTAATAGCATTCCATCAATTCGAGTATTAATGAGTCAATATTGTACAAATGAAGCGTGTTGAAGTTGTGTTAGAATGCTTACTTAGACTACTACTATTATCATTTAAGGAATTCGAAAGGGATGTATGACCAAATCAATATAAATCCAGGAAAAATCAACCATACCAATTAGAAGCTTCACAAACAAGTATACGTATAAACAACAAGAAAAATGATGTCGATAACATTGAAATTTCTTCCAAATTGTAAAGAAAGCGAAATCAATTGCGTAAAAGAAGACGGAAACTTCACCTTGATATCTCCTTCGCGAATATGGTGCTCTGCTAGAAGACGACGGTAGGTTAGAACAAGCAATGTTGTGGTTATTTCAAATGAAGTAAATGAAAATTTGTGTGTTTTCCCGGGAAACAAATAGAAATCAGAACGGAAATTCCGACTGTTTGGATTTGGATTTATTTATTTATTAAATAAAACTTTAATGTATTTATAAATTACAAATATTAAATCTTTACATATTAAAATTTGACATTTTATTTTATAAATTAAATTCCGTCTAAATGGCTACTTTAATAAAAATTTAACCAAAAATAATTTTTAACATTTTTATTTTTTTGGAATTTGTAATTATTTTAATGCAAAAATTGTGGAAATAAACTCACGAGAGAGAAATGAGATGTTGATTTTATAAATAAATAAATCTTTTTTAATTTATTTCTTTTGGTCTAAAATCATTAAAAAAATCACAATTAATGAGTAGTTTATTTTATTATTATATTTATTATTTATAAATAGTTTGAATGTGACATTTATTATTTAATTATATGAAATGATTCAACGAGGCTTTATTATTCAATGAAAATATGATATTAATTGTTTTATGCTTTTTTTAAGATATGGATCATTTTGAACCCTTAATTAATTAAGTTATATTCGTTGATATAATCGTAAATATAAAGTACCTCTAACTACGACGTCACGACGAGTAAAATAATCAAATGACACTAGATTTATTAATATTAATATAGATGTAGAATACAGTAGATTTAAAAGTAAATATGTATTTCTTATTTTCTGTGGAAAAAATAATAATAATAACTGCATCAAGAAGCTGGTGACTGTGTGATTGCTTCCACCATGTTTAGTGTCACACACGGTTGATCCACGGGAACCTACATTTATAATCATATAATTAAAAATATTAAATTTTACTCTAAATTATAAATAGAATAATGTTTATAATATATACTTACAAAATGGCCCGCTCCAAGGATCCAATAGAAATGCAAATTCTGATGCGATTTAGTGAAGCCCTTAGTTTGCTTCTGGTTTCCACAAAATAAAGTGGTTCGCTCTTTGTTTATAAATGTCTTTAGCCCTTTCCACCTAAATTCAATAAATAAATAAATAAAATATATATAAATAAAGGCTAAAATTAAAAAAGGATTTACTTGAGCTTATTAATCCAAGCTTCCGTTCCTCTGGTTGAACAAATAAGATCGACCTATGTCGAAAGAAAGAAAAAAGTCAACCGTACGTCTCAGAGAATATTACAATTTTTATCATTTCAAAATATTTTGTTTTTAAAATCTTACTTGACCGTTATAGATAGTCACATTAATTCCTTTAGCCAGTAATTCATCAACCTGTTCAAACAGAAAATATATATGTAAATAATTGAGAAATAAAAATATTGAAATTAGTTTGGTTAAAAAAATATACCTCCATGATCCTCGGCTTCATAAAGTCTCCGATAAAAAATTGGAAGACCGAGTCGGATTGACCTCCCCATCTATACGTATTAATTTAATTTTTATGTTTTTTAACATTATTATTTATTTAAAGAAAATGGGTTTATGGGTACGTACGTGACATTTGGTGGAATAATAGCGAGTTTTTGCTTAATTGGGCCATTCATCAAAGCTTCCAAGCCTCCTCCACTTCCTGGTTTGTATATATGAGAGTTAAGATATCGAGAGTTCTTTTTTACTTCAAATGAATCAATTCTATTTGATTCCACACTATTCGTCGTTGTAGCTGTTATCGTCGTCGAGGCTAATGAGTCCATTTCCAAATCCAACATGAAGTTATAGAAATCCTGCAAAAAAAACGACTCGTTATAACGTATTGATAATGACTTCGTTCTTTCGTTTTATGTCTTTTTAAAATCTAATGTCTGTTTTCTCGAGAATCTTTTAATTTTTAAAATTGAATTTATGAACCAATTTAAAAGTCCTTTTTTTTTTAATTATATAAGTATATATATGAATTTAGAATTTAAATTAAAATTTTAAAATATACCAATTTATTAGATATAAAATTTAAATTTTATATTTTATAAATTGACTGCTTTAAAACCCACTAGCTTATTAGAAATACTCTTTTATAATTTATTAACTTAATAAACATAAAATAAAAATAAAAATAAAAAACTAAAATTCAATGAAATTAATTAATTTTTTGAAGATTAAAGATTTATTAATGATTAAACTTATAATTTTTATTAATATTAAAGTTTTTTTTTTTTTTTTTTGTTAAAAAAGAAAGTAATTATCTAAAATTTTGATATTAAGAAAATAAATCATGTAATTATACTCACTTTGGCATTGGCATATGATGTTATTGGACCGATCTGTTTAATAAATTTAGATTTAAAATAGACAGTAAATTGGCATTTAAATTAAATGGTTAATAAAAACTTAATGGAAATATAAAAATAAAAAATAAAAAACAATTTTATAATTAAAGCAATTTAATTAATGAGATAGAAATTACATTATTGAAGCCATTGACCAAAAGTTATATTATTTTTTTGTTTTAAAAAAATAATAATATATATTAGAAACCTTATCTTCTAAATAATGTCCCAAGCGAGATTTGCAGACGGCCCAAAAGTTGAGAACTTCTAATCAAAATTTTGTGTAGAAAAGAGGCCCGACCCTGGNTTGGTGATAATTAATTCCTCAAGATCACTCCACGAAACAGTTGCATTTTCGTACAACTTGTTTTTAAGTTGCTGCTGGATCTTCAATGCTAACCTGTTTTTCGAAAACGGTTTTTGTTACGTAACTTTATATTTATAGAATATATTCGGCTGCTTTATTATTATTATTATTATTTTTTTAAATATTGACCTATTTGATGCTTGCAATGTCACATCGTCAATTCGCGAGAGATCTTTGAGAAGAGGGCCCCAAGAATACTGTAAAATTTTCAGACAAAAATTACTGTGTTAAGGATAAATAATAAAAGAATACTTCCAAAATAAGAGGTTGGTTTCCGTTATCCTCTCGAACTTTGAGATGTTTCATTTTAACTTCTAGATCGGGATATAATTGAAATCAACTTCATAATTTAAGAATATTCTTTTCGTTTATCATTCTGAAAACAAAAAGAATGACAAAGTTGATAAAATTTTGGACGAGATTGAGAGAACGAGAATACGAACAGTGTAATCTTCTGGGGACATCCAACTGTTTCCTAGGGCAACTCCTGTCAACGTAAAATATGATGTTACAGGAGGTATTCTTAAATTATTAATTATATAAATTAAAATTAAAATTATTATTACTTCGTATATTTCAATAAAAATTAAAATTAAGACTCAATTTAAAATCTAAAACTTATTAAAAGTTATGAGTTGAAATAGAATTAATAAGAATAAAACCATGTGTTTACATTTTTAATTCTTTATTATATAAAAATGAAATAGAGAATATAATTGTTTTTTTTTATACGAGAAAAGGTTATAATTCGTAATTTATATTTGGATTTTTTTATTAAAAAAAATACCTCGGAGATTAAGTGTCAAATTGCCGGCTTGGATGGCTCGAAGGAGGGACAAAGCCAAAGTGACGGCGAATTTTCCACCGTAAGACTCCGCAAATATATACAAAGGAGCGTTCCGTAGGCCGACAGTGTTGTTCTTCGAAACCTCAGCTAGCAAAGTTGTCATGTCGATCGCCGCCTCCACATCGCCTTTCGCAAATTCTCCGCCACTCTCCACGTAGCTATATCCGGTCCCAACTGGATTGTCCTGTTTTTTTTTTTGTTTTTTTTTAACGTTAAAATCATAAATTTAGTCGTAAAACATTAGAATTTGACGTTAAAATGGGAAAAATCGAAAGGAAAGGGAGTTGACCACAAACAAGAGGTCAGCTTTTTGCAGCCATGTTGAGTTTCTCGGCTTCAAGTTCAAGTTTAGCGGCCCGATTTCCAAGAAATTCCCAAACCCAGTTCCCGAGCCACCCTGTTTTTCAATATTTAAATCCAAAATACACAAAATTTATACATAAATCATAGAAAAAGGTCGGCCGCTCACTGGTCCGCCCTGCAACCAAAGAATGGTCGGCCATGCCTTGGAACCAGCGTCCACTCTGGAAGGGCTTCTATAAAGCCACCAAAACATATGGGCTTCTGAACAACACAATCCCAAGAACAAATACATGAATATTAATTATAATAATAATAAAATAGAATGAAAATGAATGAACTTGGCTTACTCGGTCTGACTTGAACGTAGCCCCATTCTTCAGTTCCATCTTCAGATTTGTGAGTTATGGAAGTCCTAACATCAAACAGAGCAAATGAAGCAAAGAGAATGAAGCAACGACGAAGAACAAATCGTTTAGTCATTGGATGAATAGAATGATAGTGATAAGGGAAGACGATGAGATTTTCAGGTATTTATTGAATGAATGAATTGATTGGGAAGTTATAAATGGACGTGGAGAAAGACAAGATTAGAGCTGGACGGTACAAAATAAACCATTGGACAACCCACAACCCAAGATACAGCTATAAGAGACAAGATGACAACCGAGTGGGGTGGAACCTAACTTATATTTTCTAATTTTTTTTCAATATTCCAACAGATTTTATTCCCATTTTGGTATGAAAATTGAAATCATTTAATAAAAATATATATTTAGAGCTGTTTTTTTTATGTAGAAATTTATGGAGGTGTAGAGTTATTCTGTGACTAATTTTGAATAGATTAATATTTGATTTTATTAAATTTAATGAAGGGTTGGAATGTTTATATTTTGTTAAATTAAGAAAAGAATTAATGAAAATTGAATATTAAGATTAAAATAGGGTCTAATATTAAAAATTTAGAAAGATCAATTTGTTGTGGATAGCTCGGAGGCTATTTTAATCTCATGAATAGTGTCGAACGATAGATATTCAAAATGTGAGATTTCTAGCAAGGCGCTCTTTTCGCGGATTCAAATCACCCCATGACCCTTCATAAACTCCCAACTCACACACTCCATCACCAACACATTCTTGCTTTCCCCTCCGCAACCATCACCAACACAATTTGAACCATTGATCTGTTTAGTTTATTATAATTAGAGAAATTTTTTTCTAGATAAACAAAGGAAAAATGTAAAGGCCAACAAGAACTCTGCTCAAGAGTTGCGAAGGGAGTTGAGTTAGAAAAGTAAGCTTCATCTCGACTAAACACTGGAAATAGGCAAATTGGAAGGTCCTTTCGCGGGAGAGAGTTGTAGTAAGTACCTAAATCCTCAAAATCCCCCTAAATAAGGTTTTTTAAGTTCACCCAACACAAGCTAGATTAATCAATAACAGAGATTACATTTATTATTTCAATCGTTCATCACCGTACAAATAAACGTCATATGTGTATAGAAATCAGGCTGAGAAGAATCAGTCGGACACTTGGACGGAATAAGAGGATGAAGATGAATGAATCAGTAGTAATCTCATTTTTCTTTATTGTCATCTAAGTCATCATAGGGAGTAAGCCCGAATCACTTCTAGTATGGGCGCACAACACATTGGACACTTTCCTCGAGCCTCGACCAACTCGTTAGCACATTTTGAACATGTGCACATGTGCCCACATCTACAAGTTGGAAATGAGAGAAAATATAAAGTTGAAGTGAAACTTGGGACCAAAAAAACACACAAAAATAGACTGAAAGTTTGCTGGGATTACCTGTACAACAAAGCATCAATATGGTTATCGCAACATATACAACAAATTCCCTTCCTTACTCGATCCCATTTGGGTTCATCATCTGGCAAACTGTCTTCAAACATCTCTGTGCAGGTGAAATGCAATCAATCGATGACATGCAAGAGTATATCATATCATTTCATTGGTCCAGGGCAGGAATCACATTTAGAAATAAAATTCTAAATCTTATATCCACAAATAATTTTGGAAAAATATAATATCCAACACCAAAAAAACAGAGAAACTACTAAAATCACTAAAGATTTAAGATATATCAACTCTGCAAACTAAGAACGGTTTTCATAGAGGCATAGTGTGTTCTTCTGAACCAGCCAAATTGTATAAACTAAAGAATCCAGAGGCATTAAAAATGAAGACAAACCTTCTGAACCAGCTGCTCGGTTCAATGCAGAAGAAACTTCTTGCTTTATTGAGCGCTGCAGCTCGAGTTGCATATCCATGCATGTCTCCAACATTCTCTGTAGGTTGCTCATCCTCTGTTGCAGTCTCGACATGTCAATCCTCAGATCGTTAACGATGTCCCAATCCTGTAAAATTCAGCAACAAATTTAAGTAAAAAAAAGATAATCATGATACAAAAATCACAGTAACTTTAGCTGGAAGTAAATTGCAATAATTCTAAATAGAATTACAGAATCACCATTCATAACCATTTACATTTCCATGTTTTACTACTTTGCATCCTACTTTACCATTTACATTTCCATGTTTTACTATTTTTTATTTATTTACTTTGCATCGACTTCAACTAAAAAGACGACAAGGGAACCTTGAAGAGACATACAGCTCCAAATTGTTGATGGAAATCACGTCGTGGCCAACTCCCATTGCTCAACTCATGATCCCAAAGTTGCCGAGAGGGCAATGTAGGTGGCACAGGCAAAGCAAGCGAATGGCTCTCAACAGAACCCGCTTGACCTTCACTCTGCCTGTTGTGCTCTTGTTCTTGTTCTGCAGATGTGTAAGGGGGCATCAACTCGTCTATATCCCTGGCACCGTGACCTTGTCTCTCTATGTAAGAATGTATTAACTGGTCCAGGCTTTCACGGAAACCACTGCTAAGAAGAGTAGAAACACTTCTCCTGCATAATTTAGAAAACAAGTCACGTGTAAACTCATCATTTAGAAAGGTCTGAATACAGCAAGGCACGTTGTCAGCGTATAAATTTTGTAATACCTGTTTAAAAGTTCTCTAATTTCTCCATTATGCACATTATCATCTTCAGGAAAATAAAAGGTCTCCAACCTTTGGGTGGATGTAGCATCTTGATTAGGAAGGCCCTCTAACCAATTCGGCACATCCTCCACAAAGATAACATTTTCATGGGAAGCTTCAGGGGCACTTTGCAGATGAGTATCTCCTCTATATGTTGTACTCGAGAATTCTCCAGACCAATTAGTAGCAATACTTTCCAACTGAGTTTCACTTATCTCTTCTTCGACGCTATTTTCCCATTCATCATGTTGAAAACCAGATTCTTGCCGATCATTTGGCTCAACTCTCATACCTAGTTCTTCATTCAGCTCCTCGTGAGAATGAGATTCCTGCGGATCTACATTTTCGAGATCATTGTCTTGAAACCTTCCCAAATGATCTAATACTAATCCAATATCAACATTTTCATCACGAGTATTAACTTGTTGAATGGAGGGTTCAACATCCAGTACACTAGTATGATTCTCAGCATCGATTTCTGGAATTTCATGGTACAAAAGAATTGGGGCAGTTTCCTGTAAAATGCTTCTCACATCTTGTCCTGAATCATCTGTCATTTCCGTAGAGTTGATACCTGCCATTTGGCTGGCTAAACCATTCTCGGCAGCTTGTTCTTGTAAACTTTCTACCATATGAACAGAGTCTTCCCTGCCTTCAGGGGTACTTCCTTCTAAATCAGATCTAACTTCAGTTAGACCAGTGTTGAAAGAGGCTTCGTCATGACTTTCCACATTATTGTGCCCAGAATGTACGCGAAGATCATCTAGGACCTCAAAACCCCTTGTACTATTCATGTCAGTTAGAGAATCACCATCATCAGCGTTAGAAGTGGAGTCAGAATGGCGGCTACTTGCTTGATCTTGCACAGAATTGTCCAATCTGGAGAAGAATCCTTCCCTGCTTCAAAGAAAGTCACAATATCATTGCTATTGTCCAAATGGACGGGCTGTCATTATAGAATGGACAAAAAGGCAATGTTGCCAGTGAACTTAAGTGAAAAACAATCGGGAAAAATTGAAGGTTGACACTGAAGGAAAAAATCTACGACTCTGATTATGAATCGAGTGAATTACATTGTTTTTGCTTAATTAGACTTTTTGTAATATTTAGAAATCCTACCTCTTAACACTTTCACAAACAGCAAAATATCTTATAATTATTCAACTTCACAATATTTGGTAGCACTCAATCAAATGCTAATTATCCAAGCAGGTGGCGAATTTTGGACCTAAGACTTCTTGGTTGAATCTAATGACCCTAAACCACCAATGCCCAGTTCTAAGATTTAAGATTCTTGATATAAATCGCAATGAAACCAATGCCAACGAGGAAAATAAACAATGTCCATAAGTGTAACATTAATGCAGAAAAAGAGTTTCATAATAATAAAGGCTTATAAGTTCTATGTTAGACTGACCAAATTAAGACACTAACCGGTAGTGACCTTGCAACTTATGGAGTGAGAATATAAAATCCCATATGAGACTGAGCACTATTTTTCATGCCTTGGTAATACGTGAATTTAGTCTCCTAACAATGTGACTAGCGGTTAAGGATGTCTCTAGACATTAGACATTTTCATCTTACATGGGAATGATGTTTGGAATGACGTTGATGCTGCTGATGCTGATACTGATAGAAATTTACATGGCAGTAATTTGACACTAGATTCCATTCTAAAAGTTTCTCTTATATACCCAGCAATATAGGATTGAAAAAATAGGATTTAGCAGGACAAGATCTTGGGTAGAGTTTTATAGGAAAGAGACTGGGGAGTGTATAATGCCAATTTTAAAATGAGACAAATCTGTAATCCAGTTACGATGTGAAGAAAAGCAGTCGAGGAAACATGAATACCACTAACACTTAACAGAATCGTTGCTAGATAGAATAACTTCCCCGAAGGGTACAAGTGCAACATCCAGAAATTACTACATAACTTCTGTAATTCAAAGTAGAAAAAGAATCACGAGTGAAATGAAAGACAAGGATGCCCAAGAATTAGGCATAAAAAGTATCAGAAGTACCTCAAACCAGAGACTGTATGTCTTTGCCTTAAAAGGCCTAACTCGGATTCTGCAACAGATACAGATCTAGAATTCGCAGTCAGTCTGTTGTTTCGCAAAAATCTACTTTTGAGTAATGACTGCAAAATAATATCCCATGATATAATATAATACTTAAGAGTTGATAATTATTAGCATCGAAGAAACCATAGAAAAAAAAAACAATTCTAATAAACATGCTGAGCTCATGAATAGTTAAGAACTTCGTTCTAGAGTATAACAATTTGAGAGACTATGTACGTCATAAAAAATGGTCTTTTGTCACCTTCGACTAGCAAAGGAAAAACAACATCATCCATGCATGCAAAGGACGACAAAGTAATTGGAATTGCGTCCAACCTGAATGCGGTTGCGATGAACAAAGCCTGATACGGCTTGTTGCTCTGACAATAGTTGAATTTCCCTCTGTCTTTCTATCTCAGCCTTCTTGACCATATCAAGGAGAG